TCCCTGTGACGATACTGACAAAAGAACCTTACTGATGTTATAAACTGCATGAACATAATAGATCCCGTCGCTGTCTGGTCACTATAATTAATATAGTAGTAACATTTGGATTTATCCGTAACACATTCATCATCAGTTGTACCATCTTTCCTACGTATGTCTGATTGACGGACTTCAACGGCTGTAGAACATGCCACAGGTTTGAGCCGACCGTCTGACGAGTAGTAGAACTGTGCATCATTACCAGTAGGATATTCATCAAACACTCCCCAACGGTAATGACCCCATTCATGTACAATCACTCTATCTGTAAGATTACAATTACATAATGAGTCAATCGACAAAACATTGGTTGGTTGCTAAATCTCACATCTTTCTCGTAGACGTGGTCTCGCGGGGCCTTATGGGTAACAGTCGAATAATACGTTTAGCTATTCGAAACTATACGAATGCTTTTACTTCACAAAACAGCTCAATTATGTTCTACGAACATAATGTATACCTACACAAAAACAATTATTCATCTATTCATGTGTTTAGATGGTTGACTACAGTAAACTGTAATATTGTTACTAAGTTTAATAATACCTCTTTGTCCGTATGGTGAGAACCCTGTTTTGGTGAAAAGATTTTTACCAATGTACATTCCAAGTCCAACTCTTCCACAATTCTTGTAACTCTTCACATGCGGCCAGGAATTTGCATCTATGTGTATATCAGCGTGCTGTATTGATTCCTGCCCAGCAACCTCGTACTCCTCACTAGGTGCCCAATGCTCTGGTACGAGGATGGTGATGTATCGAAAGTAAGCTCTATGATGGGTGGCGTTATACAAATAAGACGAAGCTGACGTCATTATAGACTGCGATTATAAACAATGAATGCGATGAGAGAGAGAATATTGAAATTGTTTAGTGAATTGAACAATTGTATATCATGTGCATATGCATAAATAATGTACATATAGAGGGCGTTTATATATAGCCCCTCTATATGGCAGAGGGAATGTTGGTGGCATCATCAACATTAAAGATATTGCCGCAAATAATCAAATACATGTAAATCAATTAAAAATATAGCAACGTGCATTTTAGTTACTTTGATCAGAAGACAGTCATACTAACTTTACCAATAACTATAATTATTTTAGTTCTATATTGGTAACCTTTGGTAACCGCAGCTCAAAATTTGAGGGCAGGTCATTACTTCGTATATTGTGAGCATATTCATCAAGTGTTTCAATCATAATATTAAACAGCCAGTTGGCAGCATTCCTGAAGATAACATCGTTATAGCAACCCAGTACAGCCATTATATTGTTTAATCAAGTTGTTTATGAGGACGCCCTCGGGTCGTCGCATCTCGACATGTTATCAAATATTCACACGTTTTTTATTACTACCCTTAAGGTGGGCTTCAACAATTACTGTAAATTCCAACGATTAAAAAAAATTACGTTTTTTTCATTTTAAATTCATAAAATGTCACGCCCGAAGTGAAAATTGTGTTTATATTATCTGCTAGAAATTGTACAACAGAGAGAACAACTCGTGCATATACTCGCAAGGAGCTATCGTCGCGTTAATAACACGTCGTAAATGAACAATATTATTATTTATATTATTTGTATTAGTAGTAAAATCAGTCAACTTGAACATAAAGCACTTACGATTGGGATTGTAACAGTGCTATTGTAATTTATATATACGTATACGTGAATTGGAAGGTAGTCACGTATTGTGTTCGCACTGTTCACATAGCTAAATATGACATCATCGATGTGTACATTCTGGTTTAGAATGGAATGTTAATATCATATAAATATACACGTTAAAGAACTTCTTCCTTGATTCCACATGAATGGTCTCACAATAAAGTAGTTCAAATGTCGTGGGCGTCGCTCGATATAATAAAGTGACAATAAGAGAATGTCATGTGCACTGTCAGCT